ACTAACTTGTTTTCTAAGATCCTGTGTAACATTTTTTCTCTAGAGGATTTTAAAGCAAGCCAGAGATATATCATTCTTCTACTGTACTAAGAAGACAGCATCATTAGTGGACATGACACTTGCCTTTATTATGGTAACACATTCAAACATTACTTTCTTAAATTCATTACAAATACAACCAACATTCAAACTTCCCTGTGATCCTGAAGCATGCATTTATAGCTTCCATTTTGGCTACAATTCAAGCAAGGTCCACAGACTACATTCTATAGCTGTATCTTTCCTTAGAAAGCAGCCACACTTAGGTCTTGACTATACAGGAAGGTGTCAGGGTACCTTTATTGCTGAAAACACACTATGGCATGTGCAAACTCAGTCATGTCCCCAAACACTGAAAAAACCCAATCCCTGCAGAATCAGCAAAGGAAAATTTGAAGACATGCATAGCAGCAATGATTTTACTTCACTTAAATGATTCCTGTAAACGGGAGGGTTTGTTTATGTCCTACACCTCGCTGTCAGCCACATGGTCTCATTTTGAGGTATCTGGGATACCTGATACTTGGGCTGCAGGAGTTTTATACTTATGTATAGGGAGCAGCCAGCTAGGTAAGTATTGATTGGTCTACAGTGGTTATTGGATGCTTTGTTTGCAAATGTGGAACATAGAGCACACTATGTTTAGTAAGAATATGAAGTCACCTAAAAATAGAAAGTGAAAACTTTGCAGCAAAATGAAGGTCACACATGCAGCCAGCTGGCAAGGATAACCTCACAGACCATCGTATTCTTCCAAGGGCATATGTAAGTGAACAAAATTTGGATGGTAATTTATAACTTTCCTCCTCTGTTGACAGAATAACATTTTATTGCTTTCATTTAGGAAACAAAAATATTGAGGAATAACACATTTAGGAATAGGTGATCGCTTATCACCAGTTGGTCCTTATTCTTCAAAATTAAGTTATCAAAACCACAAAGGGATGTCACTGCACACCCATTAGATGGTAGGAATTGGAACCTTTGTGCTCTGTTGATGGTGATACGAAACAGGACAAAACTATGTAAACAGTATGTCAGCTCCTCAAAAATGAAAAACACAATTAGGACAAGATCTGGCAATTTCACTTCTGAGATCTACCCACAATGGGGAATGTTCTTCTGTGTATATGTAGGGTGGCTGGTCCTAACTAGGCCAAGAAAGCTCATGTTACATACCCATGAGAAAAAGAAAACGCAGGCCCTCAAGAGGCCCCTGGACGCCATGTTCACAGAAGCATAACTAGTAATAGCTCAAGGTGGGAGCAGTCCACCTATCTACAGACAGAGGTCTGGAGAAGGACAATGTAGCACACCAGCAATAGCAGAATGTTACTGAGCCTCCAGAGGGAAGGAAGCTCTGATTCCTACACATGACACTCAAGGTCATTCTCCTAAAAGCAGCAAGTCAGTGGCAGGAAGACAAAGGCTGAACTATCTTCGTGTGCGTGTGTTGTAGTGACTGTAGGAAACTCACATAGTTGACACCAGAGGTTGAGTGGGTGATGGAAGTTTTTGCTTAATGGTTATGTTTTTTACTAGCCTAAAAAGAGTTAGTTTTGATTAATGTACTTTTCAAACAAATTTTTTTTGCCTCCTCCCACTTCCTTCCTTCCCCTCCCTCAGTTTTCCAAGACAGTGGAGGTTAAGGTTGACTGATAATGTGAACATACTTATTATTCAACACTGAGAAATAATTAAGGCTGCAAATTTTACAAGTATTTTACCACAATTAGAAATACCTACAAATATATATTAGATTTTAATTAAGTCATAAGGACACTGCAGTGAATGGGCCACAAGTATCAGAGACAGCAGCCCCAACTCCAGTGTCAGAGCCTGATCCTGCTTTGGGGGAACCACCGCTTTCTGTGCCTTGTTTGCTTGCTGGGTCCACAGACAACAAAGCCTGGTTTATTCCCTTGTTCCCAGTCAGACTCCCCCATTCCTGGAGCTGAAGCAGAAATTGGCAAAGCCATTTAGTTGCTCTAAGTAAGGTGATAGTGACCCCTTTATGTCCCTGCTTGCTCAAACATTCCAGAACAGAAAGGCTAAAAGAAGAGAAATCTGAATTCATTGTGGCCTTAATATACACTAAAGTACCCAAATATCTACATAGTTAACCAAGAAAAAGCTTCAACATTGTCTATGTAAATGCTACTAAAAAGCACACTTAATACTATAAATTGTATTTTATAAACACACAACTGAATGTCTACTTGTCTGTCCTGTACCAGGAAGGAGGACATGGTGACACTTACCTATAATCGAAACACTCAGGCTGCTGAGGTGGGACAATTGTGATCCCAGGGCAGCCTGAGTTACAGAGTGAGACTTTCCTAAACACACGCATGCACGCACACATGCACACACAAAGCAGAGCCAAACCAAAACCCAAATAAGAATGTGGTGATTCATCTTGATTGTTATCTGGATTAAACTGAGAGATGCCTAAGGCATGACTGATAAAGCACACCTCTGGGAACATCTTTTTCTAGCAATAACTAACAGTGAAAACTGTTGTGGGAGTGAGCAGCATCATCCCTTAGGTCAAAGACATCCCTGTGTTAATTAGCTTGGTCTCCCTCCTTTGCTGTCCTCTTCCAGAAGACTATCTCTAGCATAATCTAGCTCTGTTAGGACATATTCATTATTCTCAACATACAAATCCCCATTATTATGCGATGGAGAGGGTTGCAGGGAGAAGGGTAGGGTAGCTCAGGCATACCCTCTTTTCTGTGGCTTCCACGAGGTGAGCAGTAAGATGTTCTCTCTCACCTTAGTTCTGAAATAGTGACTCTAGCCAGTGCTGGAGGGCATCCTCTGAAATCAGTGCTAAAACGTGTTCTCCTGGAAGTTATTTCTGCCAGGTATTTGTTAGACATGAAATTTAAGCTTTTCTAAAGTTGAAATATTGCTCACACATACAACTAGGAATATAACGACTGGATCTGCAATATTAGGTTTATGTTAAAGCAGCTTGATCACAAAGTTACAGGTGCCCTTGAAATCAAAACCCCCTCAGTCTCCCAGCAAAATGGAAACACCTTTAGCATTCATGCAATGTTTTGGTAAAAAGTCAAGACTTCCCTGTAGGAAAATGATATAGAAAAGAATGGATGACGTGAAAATTTCCATTCCATACTTGAGCTACATACATCACAATGGGGATTTGTGTGTTGAGAACAATGACTGCTTCCTATAACAGACCTAGAATATGGTAGAGACAGTCTTCTTCAGGGCTGGGACAGCAAAGGAAGGAGACCTGCTTAAAGCAGCATTTTTCTGTCTTTGGTCAAGTTTTTAAGACACATCTGGAAAACTCAGCTTGCTATCCTCCGGCCCAGAAATTTCAGGGTCTTTAGGGGAGACAGAGAATTTGCATTTCTTACAAGGTTCCAGGTAAGGCAGACACTACTTGGAATTCTACTTTCAATCCCATTGTTCTAATGAATGTCATTATGGGATGTATGTACTGTATAGATTTCCTAAGATTTCTCAATTTCTGAAGAAAACAGAAGTAATTCAACATCCACCTGGGAGAGGGAGAACTACTTTTGCTTTGTCATAAAGATTAAAACAGAGCAGCTGATGAAATACACTTGTCTTATTAAGGAGACTAAGACACCTGAGCCTAAATAGATGGGTGAAGTCATGTACACAGCAATGTTCAGAGGAAACCACGCTGCCCACTACTCTAGTAACCCAACTACATCTGATGTGATTTCCAAATAGGTTCTGGGAAGTACCCTACCAGCCACTATGCTTGGGAAAGCATATCAGTACAGCACTCAGTAGGAAATGCAATGCTAAGTTAATGCCACGTGCAGCCAAGATGCCACAAAGCTCAGCAGAAGGGCTTTAGTGAAAACAAGACTGACTCAGCCAAGCATGGACACTAAAATGACGACTCTCCAGCTGACATTTCGTGCTGTTTTTCAGCTGGATGTAGAGACAGATCATGATTTATTCTAGCTGGCCTTTCATCATTGGGTCTTATTTTTCAGATGCTAACTCATTTTATTTTTCTGATACCACAGCAAGCATTTATGAATAACAATTCTCCAAATTGCAGTGCACATTTGAGGGACATATGAATTCTGGGCAAAAATCATTTTGGACAAGAAAATGCTGCTATTTCTAAGTTGTGCTTCGATGAAGTCAAAAAAGAAGGAACTCCCAGATCATTACACAGTCAAATGTCAATCACTTGAATAAATTGCAAAGGATTTAAATGCAGTAACAGTTAATGATACAAAAATCTTTCAAAAGTAATATGCCAAATTAAATGTTATATATCTCTAGAAAGAGATCCTATGCCAATGAAATTTAGAACAGTTTATTCCCCAAATACTATTCTTTTTGTGCAGGCAGATCTATGCCATCAGTTTGCTGGGAGAGTATGCTTTCGGCACCATGGAGGATTAACACAATTGGATCTCTTCGCAACTGTGGATGCTTTCAAAGGCCTTTAGTGAGACTCCTTATGATGCAGGTCAATGTAGGTAAGGAGTTTTAGATGACGATGGTTAGGGTAGTCTTTCACAAACTTTAATCCAAATTTATGATGAGTCATAGTTCCTTTCAGAGTTCTAAAAGTTTTGTGTTGTTATAGTTCCAAGTTCTAAAGAGTTAGTTCATCACTAGAGAATGTTCAAGGAGTTTAACATTGTGATGCCAGAACTCAGAACTTTTCATTAATAAGGAGAGACACAAAGGCACTGTGATGTTCTTCAACTAGACACAATTGTAAAGACTTAACCTTGCTCAGTGCCACAGTGTCAGTTTCTGGAGACAGCATTTTGTGTGTGAGAGGGAATTTCACCCACAAGTGCTGAAAATCTCTATTGATTTACATATTTGCTTTTACATGCTGTCATGGGTGAACCGCTCTTCTATGTATACGTAGAACTCAGGAGATAAGCAGTACCATGGAGGGGACTTCACTTTCCATCACTTACCTAGGTTTTGCCACATGCTAAAAATTTCACAACCCATGGTGACCCGCATATCACCATACCTGTAATAAAAAAAAATAAAATAAAACGGATGTAATTTCCAGAACAAAGTACTTGTGTTTCTTTAGTATACAATGTATCCTTCTGAATTAAGGGCAAGATATTTGAATAATAGACATTTGATGAATATATCTTGGAGACCCTAAATAAGATAATCACATAAAATCATAACTTTTGGTTTCGATAATTTCGAATCCTGAAAACCCACCAAGGAAAAGTATTAATAAGTTAAAAAATGCTGAATTTCCCTGAAAACCCTGCTCTAACGATTGCTTCACTCCTTGTCAGTTCCAGCTATGGGCATTCTGATCCATGAGTGATCGGAACTAAACATCTTTTGAAGGTCATGCTTCCCTCATTGGTACTTACTTTTCTAGCACCTTCTTCTTTTTGGAAGGTGTGAACATCTCCAGTTGCAGACATAACTGATTTATAAAAATGACAGCAAGGTAAAAGTAGGAATCCCAGATCTAAAAGAAGAACACGATATTTAAATATTATTGTGGTAGAGAATCATCACATATGAGTTGCTGCAATATCTGACATTTGCTTCAGAAGCAGGAAAAGAATGGGAGTGAAGCTGGAGTAGACTCTGTTCCAGTCCCTGCTGGCTATGAATGCATGGTCTGTGTGCAGTCATTATGCCACTGTTGCTGCTGTTATGTAATACACAATTGACATTTTCTACAATGAAGTAATGACATTAAAGAAATACTCTCTCTTTAGATAGTCCTTAAAGTTGGAGCCCTGGAGGAATGAGCTCTCTGGTGTAGCTAAAGGATAGACACTTCATTTTACAGATAACTCTGAGCGTCTCCACATAGCCTTGGATACTTTATTCCTGTGTGGATTGATTTTTGGAGCTTCTTTTGATGAAAAACTTTTAAAAACTGCATTTGTATCTCTGGAAATGCTAATTGCTTTAAATTCACATTGTATTTTAAAATTCCCTACCCAGACAAATTTTGAATCATAAATTTTCCTATGCCAAATAAAGAATCAGAAAGACATTAGAATAAAATTTCCAGAAATAAACAGCAAAAGCCATGTAGGACATATGGAATAAAACTGTCTTCAGTGATGTCATGTCAAATGAAAGCTAACTAACTATAAGAAATAGGACAAAGGATATCTGTCATATGTATAGAGCTCTCACAAATAAAACAGGGAAATGAAAGAAACCCCCAAAGGGAAAAAACCCACTAAAAACATTTTAAAAGGAGTGTTGAATAACCATGGCACTGGAGTTAAAGGCCACCTGACAGGGGTGCTGGGAATTAAACTTGGTTAAGAGCGGCAAGCACTCTTAACAATAGCAATCTCTCTAGCTCCCTCCACTAATATTTGAGGAAATATAGACACATGGCAATTTTAATTTTGTTCGAATGTACATTTAAAGGAAAATTTACAAGGAGAAAGTGGTGAAAGAAAATAAATACCAAGAATCAGATGGCTGAAAATGTAGTTTTTTTTTTTTCTTTTCAAATAGTGAATAACAATGGGAAGACAAAGGTGTTTGAAAAGCTACGATGACATGTCACCCTGTGTCCTGGATATAATGTATTGACTTCCCATAGTCAAGCTTCTACTGTTCTTTAGATGTTTTGGTTTTTATGTTTATTTGATCAATCCCAGGTTTACTTCATGCATGCCAGGCAAGAGCACTTCACATTTTTATTGCATTTGCGCTTTCTGTATTTTCTAGTTGTCAATGAGTTTTTACTAAATGTTTAATGTTAAACATGTTATTTAAAAAACAAACAGGAAACAAAGATAATAAAACAGAACCAATGTTGAGAAACGAAGCCACAGTAGGCACTTTGGTCTACACACTGTCATTTGCTGTTTAAAAAAAAAAGTGTGTGTGTGTGTGTGTGTGTGTGTGTGTGTGTGTGTGTGTAGGTAATCTAGAACAGTGGACATGCAGGAATATCACCACTCAAATTACTGAGGGATCAAGATCCCTGTCTGAAAGAATCATACTAAGGTTTCATAGTTTTTATGAATACATTCCAAAAATTCAAAGCTAGGAAAGTGTTAATTTTGCAATTTGTTTCTTTATAAACTCTAAAATAAGACTTTAAAATGACTTAAAAACCTGTATTAAATCCTCTTTATTCTACACTGGAACCACACAAAAAGTACAATAATTAGAATTTATGGTAACAGGTATTGAAGACAATCTCCTAAGCACAGTGATTGTCATAGGGCTGATAAGCATTACAGAAAGTCTAACATGTTTGCAAATATAAAAGAAAGCACTCTAACATGACACACAGTTAGAACTAATGTTCTCCTAAACACAAATGAAGTACCTCTCTGAAAACACAGTGCAGATCTTACAGCCTAAGCCAGGGAGTCATGAACTGGATACTGACCTTATAATCAAAATTCTCATTTAAGAAGTTCTTTCGGAGTGCATCTGAGAGGTACAGGACTGTTGTAATGATAACACTAGTGATAAAAAAAAAATAAGCACACAGTTGAGCTGAAATTTCATATTATTGAAAATCAGTTAGTAGATAAGAATAAAATGCATCTGAAAGAAAATGTTCTCCAGTAAGAAAGGGGATTAAAAAATAAAAAAACACAGAAAAAATTAAAATCTATTAGTCAGTTTCTTCATAAAATGATACCCAGGAAGATTTACAAACTCAAATAATTCAGACATAAATATACTTCTATATTGATGCTTTATGACACTTTAAAATTAATTTCCAAACAGTCAAATCCTTAATGTAAACATAACATTCTGTATTTGATTATCATGAATGACAGAGAGCCTAAAGATGTAATGGACCAATAAGGTGACAGAATGATTGATTGTTCCTTTGTTAGCCGCCTTCGCTCTGTTCTTCCCCATGTAAGGTGTTAGAGGGCACAGAAGGACTATGGAAGGCATAGTCACACAGGAGGCCAGACCAGCTAACTAAGGAGACAATTCCTGTCAAAGTGTCTACAACTCCTGTAGAACAGAGAGTCACAGCAACTCCAAGGAAGAGGCATTTCCCTCAGGTAGATTATGGGGATAGCCCCGTGTTCTTAGCTAAGCATGCCACACCTAGAATAAATACAGCTATATTTATCTTGCTTGAGACATTAAGAAGGAAGGATTTACTGAGTATTCATGCGTATTTCTAAATAGAGTTCTGTAGTTCATTCCAAATCTACTCATTTGATAGCTAGCAGGGTATAAATATTCAAATTTAAAAGTGTTTGTAATTTGTTTATTAAATGTTGAAACGTGCTACCACTTTAGCTGTTATGAGCACTGGGGTACAAATGGTTAATTTCTTAAACTGCTTGGTCTTTTCTTAGATGAATACGAAATGCTGCATTAGGATGTGATGAGGCCCCAGCTCTCATCATGGGAGTCGGAACTGAAGAGGTAAAGGGCAAAGTAAGATAAAATACCCACCAGCTTCACTCTGTGGTTATGCTACTGGAAAAATACAGATCCGAAGAATACTTATTATTATTAACTAGAATAATATCTATGGTCTCTGGAGGATATAATGGTTCATTACTGCTCTTACCCGGGAAACTCACTATGCATCTTGCTTGCCAGGCATGGAAACATTACCAAGGCCAAGGGTTAGATGGTTGAATGTGGACATTCAAGGTAAAGAAAAGCAAACCACCATTTCATGAGCACCCAAGGGGCCCTGTTTACAAGTACACACATTTTTGCACAAGTCATGGTACCTTTCAAAGAGTTTGTTACCAAAGTTAAGTATAAGATAAACCTGTAAAAGAGAATTGCTTTGTTTTCATCAGCTCCCCATGGCAGACAGACATAAGCCAATTCCACACTAGAGAGGATGTACCTCAGATGATGGTGTGGTTGCTTGCATAGATCATCCCCAAAACAATGATAATAAATGAAGAAATCATTGAGGTTCCCCAAAGATTTTACCCCATGAATGCAAACCTTTATTCTCAGAAGAGGAAATGCTACCAGGTTAAGACATGACTCTTCATCTATTGTGTAGATCACTGGGATTCTAGGGTTAATGAGGGAAGTTTTGGAGGCCCAAAGATGCAGTTGGGGGCAGAATGTGTGCTTAGTATTCACAAGGGCCTAGGGAGTCAGTCAGTCAGTCAGTCAGTCAGTCAGTCAAATGGGTAAACAAATGAACTGTAAAAATCCTGCCAGCCAAAATAAGTAAATATGTACTCTGTGTGTGCACACATCCATCTCTCTGTGTGTGTGCAGGGGTCAGAGTCAGATATCAGCTGTTTTTAATCTATCATTCTCATCCTTATTCCCTTGAGAAAAAGTCCCTCCCCCAACTTAAAGATTGCTGATTTTTAGCTAGGCTGCTGGCTAGCAAGTTTCAGCCATTCTTTTATCTCTGTCTTCTTCACAATAGGATCTACATTCACCCACATCTTTTATGGGAGTCTAGAAACATGACATCAGGCCCATATGGCAGTGTAGCAAGTACTATTTTTCAATGAGTCATCTCCCTGCCTAAACCTTTTTTATTCTTAAAAGATAAGCACAGGGGCTGAAGAAATGGCTCAGAGGTTAAGAACACTGGCTGCTTTTCCAGAGGTCCTGAGTTCAATTTCCAGCAACCAAATGGTGGCTCACAACTATCTATAATGAGACCTGGTGTCTTCTTCTGGCATGCAGGCATATATTTAGGCAAGGCACTGTATACATAATCAAGTAATAAATCTTAAAAAACAAAACAAACCCTCCCACCAAAAACAACAGCAAAAAAGATAAGCACAAACTCTGCTTGATGTTCAACAGAAAAATGCATAGTCCTTCTACCCCTGTTCATCACATAGAAATCCACCTTTAGGCCCTTGAGCCTAGCTTGGATTATTACTTGGAAGCAAGAACCTCTACTATTAATGAAGTTTAGCATATTTGATATTTTTACAATTGGGCCTATGGCCATGGAAAGAGGCTCACTAACTCAAATTTCCAGTTGAGAAAAGCAATTCCACAGAATAGAACAATTACTGAATTGTTTAACTGCTAAGTGTGATAGTTTGAATGTAACTGACCCCCATAATCTCAAAGGGAATGGCACTTTTAGGAGGTGTGGCTTTGTTGGAATGAGTATGGCCTTGCTGGAGGAAGTGTGTCACTGTGGGGGCAGGCTTTGGGGTTTCCTATGCTCAGGATACTACCCAGTGTGTTGGTGACTTCCTCTTGCTTGCAAGATGTAGGACTCTCAACTCCAGCACCACATTTGCCTACATGCTGCCATGCTCCTAGCCATGACGATAATGGACTGAACCTATATGCAAGCCACCTCAATTAAATGTTTTCCTTTATAAGAGTTGCCATGGTCATGGCGTCTCTTCACAGCAATAAAAACCGTAACTAAGACAGAAGTTGGTACCAGGGACTAACGGAATTGTGATGGGCTTGACTATGTGTTTGGGGGAATTTGGACTTTGGTACTTTGGGTTATGAAAGGAGTGGAATGCTTTTTAAATGGGCCATACTAGTAGGAGCATGGAAGAAGACAGAGGTGCTAAGAGTTATTTGGATGCTTGGGGGGCTCAGTCAAGAAGTTTCAGAGGAGAAGAATTTTAGTTTGTGCATAGAGATCATTCTTGTGTTATTACGGTGAAGAAAGTGACTGCTTTTTGCCTTTGTCTGAAGAGTTTGCCTGTGGCTAAAATGAAGAGTTTTGGATTAATTCTATTGACAGAAGAAATATAAAAACAGCCTAGTATAGACTGCTTTCTGTGGCTATTAGTGGTGAATATAATGAAGATTCATGATGACAGGGAGCAAGCTGAGCAGGGTAAATTACAAAAAGTAAATTTTGAGGAGAAAATGAGCACCAGTTGGTGGAATGGAGCTGAATCCTGTGTTCAAGGAGACAAATGGATTAAGAAATGAAATAAAGGGAGTGGTGACCCCAGGGAAAGATCCCACCCAGCTAGACTTCCAACATAATGGGTGGTGTATGCTTTTAATGCCAGCAATTCAGAGGCAGGCAGATATCACCCAGCTAAGTTTCCAATTTGTGAAAAGGAATTTAAGAAAAGCTTCGACCTTAGTGTGGTGGGGGCACTCCTTTAATCCCAGCACTGGGAAGGCAAAAGCTGAGTTTGAGGCCAGCCTGGTTTAAAGATCACGTTCAAGGACAGCCAAGCCTAGGCAGCAAAGGGAAACAGAACGCTGGTGAAAATAAATTAAACAAGGGGCCATGTTCCAGCCCCATTAAGCAGCAGAACTTGGCAACTTCAGCCACGTGGTTCTGGCTTTAGAGTTAAGGATAGAAGAAAGGGGCTATAGAAGTTGCCTTTATGCCTAAGGACAGCCTCTGAGGCCAGGCATGTGTCAGGGTGTCTCTGGGTGAAGTACTAGTAGAGAGGCCATTGCATGAAGTTGTGAAGTTGAGGCCTGGATTGCCTTGGAGAACCCAAGATGTTGAAGATGCCACAGCCATGAGATACCTACTGAGGAGAGCTGCTAACAGGGAGTGGAACTAGCTCAAGAGAAAAAAGTGTGATGCAGTCAACAAAGCTGAAAGGAGCTGGGGATCTGAAAAGTGTTTCCATGCAGAGTTTAAAGTTTACCAAGGTGTTTTTCGCCTTGCTTTGGTCCAGTATTTCCTTGCTAGGCTTCCTTCCCTACATTTTGGAATGGTAATATAAATCCTGTGCCATTATACATGGGAAGTATGTGATCTGTGTTTTGATTTTGATTTTGATTTTATTTGGAATTACAGTTAATGGATTGCATGACTCTCAGAAGAGATTTTGAACTTTAAAGCATTGTTGAAACTGATAGACTATGGGGACTTTTGAAATTGAACTTGCATTAGGATATTGTTATTTTACAAGCTTATGGGGAGCAGAATCTGATAGTTTAATGTAATTGGTACCTATAATCTCATACGGAGTGGCACCATTAGGAGGTGTGGCCTTGCTGGAGTAGGTATGGCCTTGCTGGAGGAAGTATGTCACTGTGGAGGTGGGCTTTGAGTTTTCCAATCTTAGGATACTGCCCAGTGAGTTAGTGGACTTCCTGTTGCCTGCAAGATGTGAGAATCTCAGTTCGAGCACCATGTCTGCCTTCATGCTACCATGTTCCACCATGATGATAATGGACTGAACCTCTGAAACTGTAAGCAGCTTCAATTAAATGTTTTCCTTTTATAAGAATTGTCATGGTCATGGTGTCTCTTCACAGCAATAAAAACCTTAACTAAGACACTGAGTCATAAACACATAATATTCATGGCTGCATGAATCTGCTGCATGCAGTGATAATTAACAGGGCACCTCTATATCTTGGTACTACAACCATTGACATGTTAAAATCACAGACAGCTGGGCTTCCCGCTGGAGATTGTAATGTGCAGAGGACACCTGGGTTTGCAGAGCTTCCAGGGTATTTTTGGTACACCTGGACTAGAGAGCCACCATTCTAGACCAGCACCATGCTTCCCATACTTCAGAGGGTACCTGGTAAC